TGCACTAACCAGCCTGTCCATTTTCTTAAAAAAAAGTTTGTGAATTTGTATTCCAAGGTCCCTGTACGCTTCTGCTCTATTTCACATGCAATCTTTCCAATGCTATATTATTTCTCAGGGAAAATGCAACACAGCACATGCACCTAAATTGAAATTAATTTAGCATACATATGCCTGTTCTACCCCATCCAAAAACCTTTTCATTGCATATCCTTTAATGTCATGTTGCCTCCAAAATTTGTACCTACAGCTCTGTGTGAATCTCTCCAATCAAGTTTCCATCCCTGTCAGATCATGGGAATGGCCTAATCAAAGTCATAGTCATCTTCCAATAACTGTAACCGTGATGCCCTATCTCTCTTCATCTGCAGCTTTTCACATAACTGACCAGACCCCTCCTCAACCTGTTTTGTTTAAAAACATCCAAAAAAAATCTTTCTGACCAAGCTTTTGCCACCCTTCATTTAATCAGGATCATGTCCTTGTTGAGTGATTTGGAACTTTTTGGTGTGTAAATGTAAATCATATCATTCTTGCCACTTAGCTTCAAATCTTCTACCAAGCCAATTCAATGAAGAATAAACTGGTCATAGTTTGGTAGCAAGCTGGTTAAATTCTAGCTATATATACTAGAAGAAATTTTGAGAGTCTGTAGCTTTTAAATTATACCAACCTGCAATTAATGTATTTGAGATTAGATGAGTTTTTTGTTATAGAGATAGAATAATTAAACCACTTAAATTGATTTCAATTTGGTTCAGAACTTGGTGTTTTGTTTAATTCATCCACAATTTTGCAAAAGGAGGACTTCATTGCTTATGTGAATTTTATTTCTGATTTTTTTAATGCAAGTAGTTTCTATGAAAAACTGTTTCCTACAGCAAAGACTGATTTCTGATATGCATCGAGTTAGAAGGATTACTAATGAGTTTGCACAAAGCTTGAAGTACAGTATTACATTCTAATTCTAAAGGCAGTTACTTAGGCACAGTCAATTGACTTCCTCACTAATCAGAAGCACTAGTAAGCTCACCGTCCTTTTCAGACAAATTAGTCTCTTTGTTGGTTTTGTTCTTTCTGGCTGAACAGCCTAGCTCTGGCTCTTGTACGCTTTCTCACGATATTGAATTATATGAACTAAAACCATGTGATGATCAGATTCCACATTCCCAGTAAGATTGGTATAGTGGGTATGGTGGAAGTTAATCCCTAGATTCAGGGCCTGAATGAATGTTTCCACTACCATCTTCATGTCCGGATGAACAATCAGATTGTGGTTCAGCTCTGTTCTATTTCCTGAAGCCAGGACTTGACCTATTGTCAAGTGTAAAGCTTATCCTCTTTTATATTTGTTGGTCGAGTGACAAAAGAAAGTGAACACCAAAATTAAGCTCCTACCATTGCATTTTTCTACAATCAGAAAGATTTGGCAGTGCAATGCACAATGGTTGTTTTAGAAATGAAGACGTGGCAGTTAACAAATGTCCTGAAAAGTATTACTTTTCATTAAATCTATTATATTCCTACCTAAGATGTAGATTTAATTTTTTAGAATAGAAATGGGATAACTTTAGAAGTCAATTTAGACAACTATGGCAGAAAATATTTGCTTTGTCATCATAGAATGGGTGTTGCAATCCATCGAAGAAAATGTGATGGAAATAAGTTTATTGATGTCATGTTTGTCCTGAATAGATACAGCAATGGTCTAATCTAAAATAAGTTTAATGATACTACCCTGTCAATCAATGCTTACTTCACACATTTTCATAACTTTCTTTTCATTTAATCAGCACTTTATTGCCAGCAAGCTGTTATGATATTATTAGGTTGACTCCTTTTTTGCAAGGTACTCAAAATGGTATGTTGTCTTTTCCTTCATGATTCCTATGGTTCTTAACACATTTGAGGCAATAAGTTTCTTAGAACACCACTAGCACTGCCTTCTTGCAGACCTGCTGTTCTGGATAGTGGGGGGAGGAGAGGATGAGCTAAGAGCTGCAGCTGCAGGAGATTATATACTCTAAGTCAGGTCTACAAGCGGAGGATCAGCTTCTGAACATGTTGAAAGACCACTGCCTCTGGAAGGTTAGATTCTTCCATCGTATCATAGACATTGTTTGTTGACTACTTGAAGAAGGCTAAAACCAAGTGGAATTGATTTGAGATGAACACTGAAATTTCCAATAAACAGAATCATATCAAATCATGTGTTGAAGGGAAGATCATTGATTAAAACATTAAAAATTTTTGGGCTGAGCATTCCTCCGAGCCGCTCCAGCAGTTTTGCCCCAAAGTTGCAAAGATTGCCATTTGACCACACCAATCAGGCATGACTCTAGCCACTGGAAGGAGTTTCTTTCTTCTGTTTTGCTGGGGCTCCTCAACAAGATGTTGCCTGCCTTTCCATTCATACTTGAATTATTAAATAAGTGACTTTGATTCTGACAAATTTAACTGAGTAATATTAAAAGTGTCACTGGATGATTCCATCTGCCACTTTACTGAATATTTAGAAGGTGCTGATAGAATTGGTAATTGGCAGGATGAGATCTGTTCTACATTTTGTAAAGGCAATATAAAGAGGAGATTGTTGCTGGAGTACTAATCTGGAAAGCAGGATAATATTTTTGTGACCTGGGTTCTGATCCCACCATTTGCTATTCAAATTCAATAAAAAGCTGGAACTAATGGTCTGTAATGACGACCATGAAACCACTTATTATTAAACTCATCTGGCTGACTAATGTCTTTTTTGGGGAAGGAACCTACCATGCTTGCCTGGTTTGGCCTACATGTGACTCCAGAACCAGAGCAATGTGATTGACTCTTAAATGCTGTCTGAAATGGCTTAGCGAGCCACTCAGATGTATGGCCACTACAAAACCTAAAGAAATGAATGGAACCAGGTGGATAACCTGGCATCAACACCAGAAATGACAACCGCAAACACAGCACTATTAACCCTACAAAGTTCTCCTTCCTAGAGCAGGGGGCTAGTGTCAAAATTGGGAGAGCTCTTTCTCCGATTGGTCAAGCTCAGAATCATAACTTACAATGTCCCAAAAGCCACCATCATCATCCCTGAGCAGACATGGAAGCATAGTGGTTTTACAGGAAGGAGGGGATTGCATGAAGAGTCCCCAACATTGACTCCAATGAATTGGTACTTCTCCATGTTCAGCAGCACCTGGATAATAGCAAGGATGGTTAAATATTGGGGGAAAAAAAAATTTCAGATATTGGAAATAGAAACAAAAACAGAATTTGCTGGAAAAGCTCAGCAGGGTGGCAGCATCTGTGGAGAGAAATCAGAATTAATGTTTCAAGCCCAGTGACCCTTTTCATCAGGACTGATGGTATCTAGGAAGATTGATATTTATGCAGAAGATGGGGTGGTGGGAGTGGGGATAGAGAGCCCAAAGAGAGGGAGAAACCATTGGACAAAGAAATGGGTAAAGGTCAGACTGGGGGAATGAATAGCTGATAATGGGACTATTAGGTTGTGTGTGATATGTTCTTCTGGCTGCTAAGGTCTGGTGTGTGGGGGTTGAGGTAAGGACATAGGAGAAGGTGCCTCAAGCCCTAAAATTGTTGAACTCGATATGGATTCCAGAAGGTTGCAAAGTTCCCAAGCAAAAAATGAGGTGCTCTTCTTCCAGCTTGCACTGAACTTGCTGGAGCACTGCAGCAAGCCCGAGATGGATGTTGGCCAGAGAACACATTGTGTTGAAGTAGCAGGCAACTGGAAGCTCAAGATTTTTTTTTTGTGAAACAGAACATAGGTGTTCTGTGAAGCAGTCACCCAGTCTGAGCTTCATTTCCCCAATGTAGAGGAGACTCCATTGTGAGCAGTGAATACAGTTACTGGCATCTATGTTGACAAGTGCAACAGGTGGATGTAGCAGTCAAGGAATCATTCATTTTCTGCAGTCTCCCCGACCACAGATTAGTGGAAATTATTTAGCTCCAGGCCTAATGCAGCAGCAGATATTGCCCCCTAAGGCTGTTGTTCCCTCACCACTCCCCTTATTTAACACCCACCAAGGCATTAGAAAGCCAGTTGATATGCAACTTCTGAGCCTCACCCTGGAGTCACTGCTTATTGTCAAATTTTATTCCTGTGTAAAAAATAAAGCAGCTCTCTGCTAGCTCTACATAAGCCACTGAGGGAGAACTTATGCTGGTAGAAGACTGAGGAAACCTTTTTGTTAAACACAATGGATTCAGAACGTGTTTTCAAGCATTTTTAGTTTGACCTGTTTGTCAATAAATTCAGTACCTTTTGCATATTTGGCAGTTTGGTTCATGTTGTCTATTTTTTTTCTTTGCCCCTGGTTAATCTGCACTGTCAGAAACCAAAGATCCAGAAGTTGACTGGTTAGACTTTAAGATTCCGAATATTGGAAGTGGGGAGGAGCTACAAAAACTGCCACTACAGAGAAATCTCTTATCACTCAGATCATAGAATCATAAAATCCCTATAGTGCAGATAGAGGCCATTCAGCTCATCAAGTCTGCATTGGACCCTTCAAAGAGCATCCCAACACCCCATTCCAGTCCTATCCCCACATTTACCACTGCTAACCCACCTAGTCTACACAACCCTGGTCACTACGAGGCAATCTAATATGGCCAATCCACCTATCCTGCACATCTTTGGACTGTGGGAAGGAACTGGAACACCAGGAGGAAATCCATGCAGACACAGGAAGAGTGTGCAAACTCCACACAGAATCCAAGGCGGAATCAACCCAGTTCCCTGGTGCTGTAAGGCTACAATACTAACCCTTGAGCTGCCCATGAGCCGATTGACCTGCACAAGGAAAGTAGCCAAAGTAGCACAAATTTGCACGGATCCACAAACCCATGCTCCACTGATACTGGTTTCCCTTGTTATATGTGGCACTTCACCTTTTAATTACAAAGGGTTTCTATGTAATATAATCTTTCTGTAATGCATCATACTGACAGCAGTCATCTAAATGTTTCCATTTCAGTTGATGACAGTGTCTACAAGAAGTTCCCTGGAAGTTCAAATGCCGGAAGAAATACCCTGCTAGCAAATAATGTGCCTGGGCAGACTCACTACCCAACACCTGCACGTAGGCGCCATCGGACCACATTCAGCCAGGAGCAACTGGAACATTTGGAAGCCACTTTCAATAAAAACCATTATCCAGATATCTACTGTAGGGAGGAGTTGGCCAAGATCACCAAACTTAATGAGGCACGCATTCAGGTCAGAGATTATTCAATTCTTTGAACAAAGCTACAAACCATGTTAAAATGTGTAACTTTTCAATGGATTGTTGTTTCAGTACAATGGTATTCAACTTTTCATGTTACTACATATTTTCCATTTCATTGTCTTTTTTTATTACAAGCTTTTAATATTTTGAAAAATGTGTATTGAAAATTAACATTTTAATATTGGCAAAGCACTCAGTTATTGATATAAATGTACAATCAAACTCCTGAGTGTGTCTTAGCAGAACCCTGGTAAATTTGCTAAAAGACTAAGGCTCTGCTGTGCCGGCAAACATTAACTTTTTTGTTTAGGTTTCAGGCCTTGGATATACTTGGCTGGAAGTTGATTGTGGTTTTGGAAGGTGCTGTCATTAGTGTTGCCTCAAACAATCCAAAAGTGAGTGAGTGCATTGCATCTTGTAGATGGTATGTGCTACTGCCACTGTGCATTGATGATGGAGAGAGTGAATGCTGAAGGTGGTGGATGGATGGGATACCAGTAAAGAAGGCTGCTTTGCCCTGGACAAAGTCATGATTCTTTAACACTGCTCAAGGTACATTTATCTCGACAAGTGGAGAGAATTCCATCACGCTCCCGACTTGTGTCTTTGTAATTGGTGGACATGACACTGGTGAATTGGGAAATGACTTGCTGGAGAATTCCTTCCCTCTGGCCTACTTTTATAGCCACAGATTTTTGGATTCATTCATAGGAAGTGGGCATTGTTGGCTGAGCAGCATTTATTGCTCATCCTTAGTTGCCCTTGAACATGGTTGTGCGCTACCTTCTTGAACCGCTGCAGGTAGACCTAAATGCTGTTAGTGAGGGAGTTTCAGGTTTCTGAAGTGCTGATATTTTACTAAGTCAGTTTAGTAAGTGACTCCGAAGGGAAGCTGCAGGTGATGGTGCTGTTCCTGTGTATCTGCTGCCCTTCGCCTTCGAGATGGAAGGGATCCTGGGTTTAGAAGATACTGTTTGAGGAGACTTGGTGAATTTCTGCAGCGTATTTTGTAGAGACTGAGCATCAGTGGTGGAAGGATGGTGAATGTTAGTCCTAGATGGTGTCAAGCTTTTGAGTGTTGTCAGGAACTGCACTCATCCAGGCAAGTGAGGAGTATTCTATCATTTGCCTGACTTTTATGCCTTGTAGATGGGGGACAGGCTTTGGGGAGTCAGGAAATGGGTTACTCACTGCAGGGCTCCTAGCCTCTGATCTGCTTTTGTAGCCACACTAATTAAAATAGATAGTCCAGTCAGTTTTCAGTCAATGGCAACCCCAGAATGTTGACAGTGGAGGTTTCAGTGACAGTAATGCAACTGAATGTCAACAGACAATGATTAAAGTCTCTTGTTGGAGATGATCATTGCCCGCTACCTGCCAGCTCAAACCTGGCTATGGTCCAGGCATGGTAGTTTCTGGACATGGACGGCTTCCAGGACCAGAGTTACGCACAGTGCTGAACACTGTACAATCTCCAGCAAATATCCCCACTTCTGACCTTACGGAGGGAAAGTCAATGAGGAAGCAGCTGAAAACATTTGTGCCAAGGATACTAGCCTTAGGAAACCCTGCTGAGATGACTGCCAACCACCATAAACACCTTTTGTGCTAGCTATCCTCTCCATTCTCATTAACTTATTTTGCAATGACTCTTTTTGACACTACAATTAGACAAATACTGCCTTCATAACCAGCAGTCATTCTCACCTCACCATGGTTTTTTTTTTAATTCTTTTATTCATTTGTGGGACAAGTGCATCACTGCCTAGCAAACATTTATTACCCATAGCAAGTTGCCTTTGAGATGGTGGTGAACTGCTGCAACCCTGCTGTAGGTTGACCCACAATGCCATTAGAGAGAGAATTTCAGGATTTTGACCAGCGACAGTGAAGGAACAGTAATTATATTTCCAAGTCAGGATAGCGAGTGGCTTGGATAGGAACTTGTATCTCCTACCCTTGTCCTTCTAGATGGAAGGGATTGTGGGTTTGAATGGTGCTATCTAAAGGATTCAGCTCTTTTGTCCATGTTTGGACCAAGGCTGTTATGAAGTCAGTTAGCAGAGGGCACAGAAAGCTGAGTGGTCAGCAGTCTGGCAGTAGGATGGAGGTTTCAAGAAGCTTAACAGTATCTATGACACCAATTCTAGCACCTTCAACATTCACTCTTTTCCACCAGTATACAGTGGTAACATTGTGCCATTGATGACACACAAACTGCAACAACTCAGCAAGCACCTTCAACAGCACCTTCCAACCTGGTGACTTTTCCTGTCTACAGCAAGAGCAGCAGATGCATTGGAACACCATCAGCAAGTTCCCCTCACAGCAATACATCATTTTGACAGAGATAGTAAGAACTGCTGATGCTAGAGTCAGAGATAAGTGTGGAGCTGGAGGAACACAGCGGGCCAGGCAGCATCAGAGGAGTAGGAAAGTTGGCGTTTCGGGTCAGAAATTTCTGAAGAAGGGTCCTGTCCCAAAACATCAACTTTCCTACATCATTTTTGACTTAGGCTAGGTCAAAATCCTGGAACTCTTTCCAAACAGCATTGTGGCTATACATGCCAAACCCCTGCCCTGCCTCCCCCATGCACTAGTGCTTCAAGATGCCTCACACCTTCAAGGCGCCTCACACCTTCAAGGCATTAGGGATGGACAATAAATGCTGACCCAAGCTATGATATCTACAATTTCATGAATGAAGATAAAGCCATAAAACTTTGTGCTTGAAAGAGAAAGCAGAACTGGAACAAAGTACATGAGATTCGTTGCTTATATTCTGTTCTATCTGAATATGATCTGCAACTTTGACTAACCATTGTGCTATCAAAGGTGGCCAGGTATTGTAACTGAAATTATTACAAATCTTGGCATAGCCTCAATCACCTTTTGTGTCTGATTAATCTTTTTTCCAGCCACACATTCAAGCTCATTTTCATGAGATCTCTTAACTCCAATCTCCTGTATTCTGCTCAATCCTACTCTTTGGAATTAGTTCCCTAAATACCGTACTACATTTTAACCCACTTTTGTTCCTTAAAACTATCATTTTATCGTACTTTTTAATAATTTTCTCCTACTTAGCATTAATTTCTCCTGTGATTTTCTATACTTTCTAAATTAATACTGCTATACAAATCCAACCTGTCGCTAGTAGACATTGCAATTGAAAATTTGGAAGTGATTAGAAACATGACATTATGTAAAATGTTCAAACATCATCATGAACACCTAAAAGCTCATGTTCAAGTAGAATTTCTACCTACCTTGTAGGGAATGTTACATTTATTTCAGTTGGGACACAACAAATTTGGGGAGCTTGATATAGGTTTACCAGAGTCAAAATCTAGGAATCCTGAAGTGCAAGATTATCACAGGAACTAAACCAACAGGGATTAAATAGAACATCAGCAATTTTCTGCTGTGTATCCTAGTAAGACTCCCTACCCTTACTTTTATTCAAACCCACATAATTATCTTTCGTCCTGGACCCACATTTATATTGTAGTGATGTTAATGAGAATAAAATTCTGTGGTATAGTCTTTGCTGATTCAATTCCTATTCTTTCAGGTGTGGTTTCAAAACAGACGTGCAAAGCATCGGAAACAAGAACGAGCTAATCAGAAGTCAATCCCTCCGACTGTTATTTCAGGCTGCAGTGGTCTGATATCAGGTGTTTGTTCTGTGTCTACTTCAGCTAGGCCCTACCACTATCCACATGCCATTAATCACATACCACGTTTCTCTTCAATGGCAACGAGTGCTTATGGTTCTCCAGCAGCTGTTAGCCAGTTTACTTGCACTAATACGCATGCACACTTGGCAACTGCCCCACCACCACCACCACGGCAACATGATGACTGGTACAGTCCTCTACGTTCAATTAATTCTCCAATGGCTGGATTACCCTCATCAATGCTCTCCCTCGGACCTGTGCCAGGTCTTGATCCACCACCACACTGGAACTAACTGCTAACAACAAAAATCATTCTTATTTCCAGAATAAATCAGTGTGTTATTGTAATGGCTGCCCTGATTATCAATTAGGAATGCACTTAGAAAACTGCCTTTTAAGCAAATATATTAAAATCAATATTTGTTTTTCAGTTGAGTTATTGAAGGTCACATGGGATATTTCCAGTTTTCAGGTTGGAAAATATGGTAAACGTTCCTATGTTTTTAAGAACTTACGATTCTTGTTCATTGTTGCGTAATGCATTTAAAAACAAGTTGCGCTTCTTATACATTAATCTATCAAGGCAACATATACTTCACACTGGTCATTGCTGGTTGAAAGAAATGAATACTAAAAAGGATGGAGTCAAAGAGAGAGAAACTTAATGATAACATTTTGAAGAGTTATGTAGTCAAATATTCATGCGTCAAATGAAGATAAACTAATACATTCTTATTTAATTTTTTTCTAGGATTTTGTATTTCAGATAACTCCTCTGGATCAAGCAAGGCTTTAGCAGAAATAGTCTGCTAAATTCACTGTATAGGAATAGTTGTAAAAATTAGATTATAGTCGTTGAGCATATTTAGCTCTTATATAGCAGTAGATAACATCTGTCTACTAAACTGTTTTTAATTATGTCAAACTAGATCTTGGCTTATTTGAAGGCCCAGCTCCATAATCAGTTAATCATTTGCTGTCCAAGTTCCAGATTGCCAATGCTTTTTCAATCCTCATAGCTCAATTAATTTTTCACAGATCCTAACAATTTTACAATACTTGATTTTTGTCACGGTCTGTTTTTAACAGGCCTGAAATTTGAGTAGTGATTTTTTAAGAAAGTTATTGCTAAAGGGCAAGCACAAAGCTTAAATCTTATTTGTTTACCTGATGGTTCACTGTAAATTTTAAATTTTAACTTGTGGGTAAGCAACACCAACCGACTGTCCAACTCCATTTACAAATTGTACAAATCAGGTTAAAACAAAAAAGGGAGAATATAGCAAAAAGAAAACAAACAAACAAACAAACAAACAATCAGTAGTTTGTTTAGCTTAGTCCATTTTAAACATAAAATATCTTGACATTTGGCAGTATACTAAGTTTGAAAGAACAGATATTCAAAGTTTCCACTTACTCAGTTCATCAAATATCTGGAGATGCAGATATTTGCTGATTAAATTTTAATACTGCCTTATTTATTGTTGTCTTTCCTTTTGAAGAAAAAAAAAGCTGTCTCATCTGCTATTTTAAACCCTCGATAATGATATTGAACATTGAGTATTTAACATTTTGAAAGACCTGTTAAGGATATTGGGATCCTTAAGCTTTGTCTACTTTAAAAAAAAAGTTAATAATCAAAAGGACATTTTGCTGAAACTTAAACACTGATTAGCATTCATAGTGCCATGTTTTGTTTACATTTATGAAACAGAGTTAACCTTCGTTAATCTTCAAGTATCATTAATCCAATTGATTTTCATTTCTATTACAAGAGAAATTAATCCCTTTTCTCCAAAATCCAAAAAGGTGATAACTTGCTATTGTATAGGTCCAATTTAAATAACTATTCTTCATTTGGGAGAATGCTAGTCAAAGTACTTGTTAATTGAATCAGATCAATTCATGCAAGAATACGGTCTGATTTTCTTTCTTTACATCACAAGTGATGACAGGAATAACACTTCATTCAAAAAAGTGATTTTAAAAATAAGTGGAGAAAAGAATTAAAAGCACATACCACAAAGGAAAACTGTAGCTTTCTATTAGAGAAGATAGCAACAGAATCACCACTTATCTGTACATCTTTAGCCTAGACCAAATTCAGCATCCTCAAAATACTCCTGTCTGAAATCAGTATATTAAACAAAAAGCTCAGAGTTAAACTTGTCAAATGATTTGTTAGTTTAATTTTAGTAAAACATTTATCACTGACATAGGAAGCCAGTTTGTTTTCAAATACAGCTATGGACACAAGATGCACCAAGGTTAAAGGTGCAAGGTTGATGCAAACCAACTACCTTTTGGTACAGTAGTATGGGGAAGGAGCAAGGTCATAAATCAGCACTTAAATTTAATTTCAGGCACAAGACTTTAAATGCAGTTTAAAATTTTTAAACCACAGAATCCCATTTGGTGTTGAAATTGGTTTGTGAATATTAAAGACAAATTATATTTGACTTATATTTTATAATAAATATAACTACCAATAACAATGCACAAAGTGTTTGCGCACTGAAGTGCCAACAACGTTTTAGGCTGGAATTTATTAGTTAGCAACCATTGCTCCATTCACCAGAACCACCAGTTTAAAAAGAAAAGAAATGCATTCCTGAAGGTGGTTTACTGGAATATGACCAAATTTCAACATAGTAATACTCAATCTTTTCAAAATGGCAAGTTTTAAAATTAATACATATTATCGATACAACATATGACAAAACCAATGCTTTTGTAAACATATCGCTTTCAAAACAAACACTGATTCTGTATCCAAAATACCACAGAACTGGTTAAACTGTCAGTCAGGAGCACGTAATCTTCTGTTTGCTTCTGATGGCTCAGCAGAAACTAGTAATTGAACGTGAAGAATGATCAGTGAAAATCATGTCCTATACTATCAAATGGTATACCAAAAGTTTGGCCCTGCTGCCCCTTGAACAGTTCAATGTCTCAATAAATTTAAAAAGTAGATTGTAACAAAAAGATAACTAGTTACAACATTACACTACACAACTGAGCTCCTGAAACTAAAAGTATACAGTTTATTTTACAAGCACTATCTAATCAATTTTCACATGTACAGTAATACTATATAACTAGTGCATATATTGGTCACCCACATTTAATTTGTAGGTTTGTGGCAACAGACATTGAACATGAAAGTATTTACTAGTTAAAGAATTAGAATTTTCTAATTTATCATTTGCCTTATACAGCTAGATAAAATTCTGACTTCTGTAACTTTTGTGATAACATTTTAAATACAAATCATTCATTCTGATGGTCTAAAGAAAATTGTCAACACTTCAGAATTACTGTTTTCCTTACAGCATGTTGCTAATGAAAAATTCACAATATTGGATAGCAACATAACACGCTACCCTTCCACAAGTTTCTTTTATAAATTGCACAAAAATATTCACAGGTATCCAGTGAAAGTTTAAAAGGTTTGCAGTTATTACACAAAAGCTAACCTTCTGTTTTTTAGAGGCTGATAACCTATGATTGGCTCAGTTATTAAGAAAATAAAGTTAACTGACCTTCACCATTAATAAAAATATATTTAATTGCTTCCCCTATGGGGGTCAGAAAATGGGTAATACCAATCCATGATTTGTCCTTTTCACTCTAGTGATTTAGCAAACTCAGCATAATCAATGAACCCATCATTATTCTTGTCATCATCTCTTAAAACGTCATCAATTAAGCTAACAATTTCTTCTTCACTCATGGGTTGTCCTTGGCCACCACTTTCCTGTACAGAAAAGACAACACAGAAAAACACAAGTTTAAGAATGTAAAAAGAATAAAATGAAAACAATAAAAAATCAGAAGGTTTAAATATTGTTACATTTGTTCTAATTACATACTTGAATGTATTGTACCTCAAAGAAGTAAGCAACCAATTCAAAAAAAGATACGTTGAAGAAGCTTCTACCAGAATTATTACCCTTTCTTGAACTCATCTATACTCGGGTTTTCTGGTCTTGTTTCATTAAATTTTATTTTGCAGCCAAGAATTTCAATTGGTGTGACTATACTATTCCAGGAACAAAAACAGAGCTTGCTGGAAATGCTCGGCAAGTCTGGCATCTACGGAGAGAAATCAGTTAACGTTTTAGGTCAAGCGACCCTTTCTCAGCTGTTCTGCAGAAGGGTCACTCAACCCAAAACATTAACTCGGATTCCTCTCCACAAATGCTGCTAGACCTGCTGAGCTTTTCCAATAACTTCTGTGTCTTGTTTCTGATTTACACCATCTGCAGTTCTTTCAGTTTCTATATACTATTCCAGTATGCATACTGACACATTAATCATTATAATATGCATATCAAGTAAATTGAGCCATAATGCAGATTACGAATATATTAATGAAAGGCATTATAAACTGCAAGCACTCAACTGCCTGTGTCTTTAAAGCTTGATAGCACAAAACTGCTAAACAATGAGACTGTCTACCTTCATGAAACCACTGTACTGGATGGAATATAACTTCACCTCAGTGGACTGTAAAGGTGTTCAATGTAATATGCACCTTTTATAATTAGGGAAAGTACACCAGACTTTAAATATTTAGTAACTACCATGTAAGTGCAACTCTGACATATGCAAGCAGGTTCAGCCTGCAATACAATTGGAGTTGTATGGTCTTCAGCCTCAAACCCATTCTGTAAAACAACTGAAACCTAACAAATCGGTGCAAAAACTTGATATGCATCACTGATAGATGAAAAAATTAAATTTACTTCTAAGGAATGTACAGTAATGGGCATTGACTAAAATGTAATTGGCATTCAAAAAACAAGGAGACTTAAAGAATCTGGTAATGACTTCCACTTTGGGTGAACAATTAAGTCAAACAGACTCAGATTTTAAATTTACTTACCAGCCTGTAACAAACGAAAAATAAAATTGGTTACTAAGAGACAAAAGATGAATAGTTCCCGTAACACAGTATTTACCTCTTTGTGTACATGTGTAATGGCTGATATTAGTTCCAATCCATCAAGAAGATTATTTCCATCATAATCGTGCATTTTGAAGTAATGAAGTTGAAGTTCTTGTGGTGTCATCTCAGATTCTGGTTTGTCTATCACACCATCTAAATGTTCCATAATGTGACTGCAATATCAATAAAAGCATATCAATTACTAACAATGCAGCTTTCTTTCAAAAATAGAACACCTCATCCTTTACTTCCCCGTACTATTCCCTTTCCATAGGCAGATCTCTGGTTAGGTCATGTCACTAAAGGGCAACAAGGCAACCAATGTATTCGCAGGCCTGAAACATATATAATGTCTTTGCTGTTGACATGGAGCCAAAATCTCAAGCACTTCAAATTGTTCAAAAGGGAGCTACATCAATTGGAAACTTGGTTGCATTTTCAGCTTACTCTAAGAATTACTGGAGGGAGTTTGTAGGTGGTTCACATATCAAATATCTTAAGGTGTAGTTAAGCTGCAGCATTAATAATAAAGAGAATTGTAACAACAATTCCCACCCCATAATAAGAGTGCAGGATTTTACCTGCTATAGATGCAAGGCTGGTTAATTAGCAAGCAAAGCTCCAGGAAATCCTGGACAAAGTAGTATAGGTAGAGATCTGATAAAATGGCTCCTTTCTCTTTTTTCTATGCTGTGGGTACTAATTTTATTATCTCCTCAGAAGAAGAATCATATTGGACTCAATGTTAACTCCATCTCTCTCCACAGATTCTGCCAGACCTGCTGAATTTCAAAAGCTGTGTGTGTTTGTAATGTAGCAAGCTATTGTTGCCACAAGGAATTTGGTTGTCAGGATCTGCACACCTGTTGTGGGATACTCTGAATAAATTTGAATTTATTCTTAACATCAGTAGTACACCTAAACATTAAGTATTCAATACAATTGTCAGACACAAAGCTTGGAGGGGTAAAAATTTATTCATGGAAAATGTACACAGTAAAGAGGAGGAGTCTCACTGTAACTTATTTTATGCTTACAATTACATTATCCTGAATTCCTAGTACTACTATTCTTCCATTTTAGTCTTTGCAGCATGATAGTATACCTGCTCATCTCTTACAAGCACTTATTGAAATAGTACATGTAAAAAAAGGGGGTATAGCAAGGCAATATATTGAGACCCCATTGTACTCCAGCAGCCAGTATAGAATTAGTGCAAATCTTTGCAACAATTCTCATCCAATTCCCAAAGTACTATTCATAATTGTGCATAATGTCTCTGAGATAATAACTTCTAAATTAAACTATTAGGGACCAGGAATAAACAGCAAGAGACAGAATGCAAGTAAGTGACAGGCAGAAAAGGAGTCAGAACCTCAAAGCACCAATTTAAAATCTGTTTTGTGTGGAAGACAAATGTCTAGCTAGAAATATCAGGTGCAAAGAAAAGTAAAAGGTGAGGAGATAACAAGGTATAGAGCTGGATGAACACAGCAGGCCAAGCAGCATCAGAGGAGCAGGAAAGCTGACGTTTTGGGCCTAGACCCTTCTTCAGAACCTCAACTTCCAAGTCAAATCATTTTACTAATTATGAAGCTTTTGTACAACTTACCAAATGAAACTGAAAATGAATTAATGTACAGTATAAATTACTAATTTATTTGCATACTGTGGAAACAGTGAGTTACATACTCTTTGTCTTGAACAAGGTTCTTATCTAAACGAATGTTTGGTCGATGACCCTCAGTGACTTCAAAATCAGGTGGCAGATGACCTTCAGCAAGAGTTGAATGCAGATGCTGCCATCTCCATAGGACAAGACATAGAAAGCCTATGAAGCAGCTCCTCATAATTTTATTCCAGTATAACATGGTACAGATCCTGTGTAACAATGATACATCATTAATTTATTTCAAATTTGGCACTTTACATTTGAAAATCTTTACTTTATACAAAGTAATAAATATTTTTGTATGCTGCATTAGTTTGACCTGGATGCAGCTAACTTCCGTTTTGAAGTTTTGACATTTCCCAACGGGATGAGAATTCTGTGTTTTGGTTAAGAGATAACTTTATAAAATTCTCTCAAGTCCGGTTAGCCAGATGAAAGTTAAACAGGGTATTGCTTTATTTGTACGAGAAGTCACTTTTTCCTCCCAAATGTATTTTTTCATTCAAATTACTTCTAATACAAGATTTTTCACCCATAGTACATATTTATTGGATTCAATATCCATTTATGACTTATTTTGCATTGAACATGGTAAAACATACCAAGGTCAGTTGCAGGACTGCTAACAACATTTGACACTACACCATAAAGACAAATATTAGGATAGGGTATCAAGTCTAGTCACAAAGATACGTTGTAAAGTGTATTTATAAAGAAGATAGACATAGAGGCTGTATGGAACATACAGTGACTACCTTGCTTGCAATCTGTATACTTAGTTACAGGTTAACAAATCAAAACTCAAGTTTCAACAAGCTGTGCTGACTAGTCATTCATGACAATCATTCCAGGACATTGTAGACCTATCTATTTATGTACCCAATTATCAAGACAGTCACAGAATGTGTTCCAATATCAGTCATTTTGCTTCCTTCCTCCAAGAGGACAATTATTATTTGAGGAGTAACCAAATAACTTTGTACAACATTACAGACTGTTAAAGTAATTGAACACCCAGCAATTAAATGAAATAACTACACCACAAGATTGTTTTTCCTCTTTAAAAAGCCATAATTGTACACACTAAGAAATTAAAACAAGCACCACTAAAAACTTAAGTTTATTTAAAAAAGGCTTATGCTGTAAACTCAGTTCTTATGAATCTGGAGGATTAATTCACTCTTCCTAGGACTGTCCCAAAAATTGAGCCACAGCCTTCTGGAATTTGCTTTAATTCATTATCTGGCTTGTAGGGATTCCGAGACCATTTGGCCTATTGAACTTGCACCAACACTCAAAAGAGCATCCCACCCGAAATACGCAAACTCGTCCAAGGCTGGAATTAAGCCCGAGTCCCTGGCGCTGTGAAGCAGCAGTGCCCTCCTTAATATTCCAGCTATTCCTCAAGGTAGAAATTACATGGCAATCCTTCCATTAGTTTTTGACTAACCGGTCTTCGCAGTCATCAGATCCTTAAGAAAAGTGAAACGCTTAGGCTCCTTGAACCAACTTTGGACATGCAGACTATTTCTTTCTTTTCTGCTCTCTGCTTCTTTACAGCTGTTGTTTCAAACTCAAATATTCAAAATGACCAATTTTCTTGCAAAGCTGACAGCCATTGTAGATTTCTTCTGTTGGCTGCAAGCTACAGCAAATCTTTCAGCTGTTTTACGTCATGAAATTTAAATCAAACTGCTGGTTTCTGTCAGCAAACACAAATTAAAAATAAAAAAACCTTCTAATCAAGGCTGCACTCTGAAGCAGGATTGCCAGTGCAGCGCAATTCACGAGGCCCGTTTCCAAGCCAAAACGTAGTACAAGTACCTTTTAACTCCAATGTTTTCCATGATTCTGGGTAACCATATGAACGACAGATTTTTAACAAATACAGAACAATGATTCCCAGACTCTGACACAATTACAAAGCTAAGAGCAAGTTCCTTGCAGTTTTATGATTCTATCTTTCTAGCTGTAATATCTAAAGAAAAGGCCCCAACCATTTGATTGCTAATTGCCTTAGATTTGTTAGCCATTTAATTTGCATTCAAAAATTCCAATTCCCAAGACAAATGATTACATTCCTAAAACATTCAAATCAGACTTTCACACTGTACTGCAGAATTGAGCAGCCAGAAAAGTGTTATTTATTTGTAAGGAGTCATTTCATAGTCCACAGTCCAAAACTTTGAGCGTTGATGAAATAAAGACATTGTCAGAAGTTTTTGCCTTGCCCTCATCATGACAAATTACATTAAATATTTATATAAAGCCAAAAATATTTATACTGCACAAGAGAAGAGTATTGATTAATTGGCAAGTGGACTCTGACTGTTAGAATGCACTAGTTAATGATTGACAGTTAACTGTCAAACTTTCTTTAAATTTTAAACCAGACAGGTGAACTCTAGCTGGTGAAGGCATTGCCTGAAGAAATAAAGCATAGAATGGCTGTCAACTTCTTTGCTGCATTGACACAATCTCCGTGTGCATAAATTCTCCATATACAAAGAATAGGACTCAGTGTATTAATATTATGTAGCTCCTAGTATATGCAAATGCACCATACTGTGAGCCAGGATGACCATCTTAAATTGGTTAGTTGCATGATTCTTTACAAACAATTTTGTAGCAAATATCCATCATTTGTTTGAAATGCTGTATCTAAATTGAATCCTGTAATTCATGCAAAACAAAACACTCACATTCAAAAAAGGTATAACACACACATTTGATTATTTCTAGCCAGACAGTGCTCACTAGGAAATGCTCTTAACATGCTTGGTGATGAATGATGGCATCACAACTCATTGTAGATCCTGCAATGAACCTCCCAAATACAAAAAGAACATATACCAGTCCCTAGAACTCGTTCTGCCTTGGCCATATCTGTTGTAGGCACCAAAACACAAATACATAGCACATTCTTGCATATCCGGCCTGAAGATCATTCCACGCCACAACTTCTTCCTTAGCTTAAAAAAAAATTCAGATGACTTAGTTTGCCACAGTGAATGGCATAACTATGCTAGTTGGTCCTATATTCAACAGTTGTCTAGTGTACAACCCAATTACCCAAGATTTAGCAACCCGGTCTCAGGAACGTAAGCTTGAGCCTAACTACAAAAGTTATTCCACATACTCTCACAACTCTTCGCGGCATCATTCCCACCCCAGCACGTCGATCACTGGTTGATTAGTGTTAACACTGCTTACACAACTCCAGTAGGTATGTCTTAACGTTAGACAATGAAGAAATCCGCTGGTTCACGGGTATCAGAAGGATAAGATGCCAGGAAATGGGAGGGGGGGGGCTGGGGGAACTGGGGAGGGTAAGAGAGAGGTTTCAGGATCGCTCCGGATGAAAACAATTCAATAAGCAGAAACCTGGGGACTGGTTTGGGAAAGGCGGGTGGTGGTGAAACCCTATCACCTTGGACTCCCCGACCTCAGCCCCGCCCCCTTCTGCCTGCTCCTTTCACTCAGAGGTTCGAGCCAGCCAGCTGGAGAACCCGCCCAGAAACCTCTCTCTGATTGGCCCATACCAACAATTCCGAGCACTCTTTATGATGTCCAACGCCCTGACTGGCAGCCGCAGCGGTCAATCATCCCGCCGCCGTGTCTCACAGACACGGACGGAGCAAGAAAGCTGCGGTGGTCAGGGTACCGCCGTATACACATTAAAAACAACAAATGGGAAAAGGAATAAGCACCGCTCGACCGTGATCACTTTGCCTCGCCTCCCCCGTTACACCGACTCTCCCCTCCCCGTTCAAACAGGTAACAACTTCCAGCTCTGAACAAATCGGCGCCCGCTGTGGAATTCGCGACAACTGTGGTTGATCTCCTGCTCAGGCTTTCCAGACCCTTCAACCCCGTTAGTCCGCACGACATCCGTTATTTTGAACTACCTTCGCGCGCAACCCACTGACAACCGCGTCAGCTGGAGACGGAGGGGTAAACCTTTGACCTCTCGAGGCCCCGCCCACCCGTGTGTTGATTGGCGGCACGGTCACGTGGATGGCTATCCCTGGGTGTCCTTGTCGATGTACCGTCTCCCTGACTGAGGCGGCGGGCGCTCCTAATGCAAATCCCCCTGAATTACCCAAAAACCGTGCCAGCTTCCCCGCTTCGCACACCTCGAGACAAGTCCTTACAATCTAAACATACTGGCTGTGCATATCAACAGTTGCTATTTTTTTCCAGCTCCAAAGGCAAAACTGACAGAAGGGGAGGAAAAAAGAAGCTGTAAAGAGGGAAAGCATGCTGAATTCTCAATCTATGTAACGTAGCACAAAACAAACACATCTGTGTCTAGAAACAGCACCCCCATCCATCCCCAAACAAAGCAGCAGTGTAAACATCACAGACAATGAGTCTCAGTAACTTGTTTTTAAAGTCACAGCAATTCCTTTCACGGTTTTACAGTGGCTTTAAGACAATTCTATTCCCACTTTAGTTCACAATCAATAGCACACAAAATAAAATAATGTGGTCTTTACAATTCTAAACTAAAACACAAGATTTAAAAAATCCATCATGAGATCGTGAGGCTCAGAAATCGTGATGGAATTGTTTTTAGTAGAATCCCTACAGTGTGAAAGCAGGTCATTTGGCCCATCAAGTCCACATCAACCCTCCAAAGAGCATCCCACCCAGACGCACCCTTCTACCCTATCCCTGTCACCCTGCATGTCCCCATGGCTAGTGCACCTATCCTGCACCTCCCTGGATGCTATGGCCAATCCTACACATTTTTGGGCTGTGGGAGGAAACTGGAGCACCCAGAGAAAACCCACGCAGATACGAGGAGAAAGTGCAGACCCCACACAGACAGTCATCCCAGGGTGAAATTGAACTCTGGTGCTGTAAGGCAGCAGTGCTAACCACTGAACCACTGTGCTGCCTCTATGGTAGAGAAAAATTCTTCCAGCCTCTGAATGATGTGGGCAACAATGAGTCAGTTGAGAAAAAATGGCAAGGTTGAAAAAAAGATTCTCCACAATGATAGAAAAAAGTTCCAATTTTCCACTTGTTTGAACAGTGAACAGTGAGACCCCTATATGCAAGCATTAATATCTAACCATTACCTATTTTCCCCTCCTTTATACACAGTTTATTGCTCTATCATGTAGTAGATATTCTAAACCATGATTATTCCTGACATGAAAGTTAAAGTTAAAACTCTCAACTTGCTCCTCCAGGCCTCCATTTGGTCAGCAGTTCCCAACACTTCAGCGCACACTCCATGAGTAGTAAAAATACTTAACTCACTATTCAGAGAACAAATACATTAATGATTCAGTTACGGGATGAAAAATATCTACATATCTGCTGACTATCAGGAGAGACAAGCCTCAAGTCCAATACACTCCATCCATGGAGATCGGCATCAGACATGCACCAACCTCACCATAAGATTATGACACAAATCTGACTTGTAATAGTAATCCACTTCGGTACTGGAGCACACTGATATCATTCCTGTCTTGCTGCCTTTAGGCTACTATGTACACAGGAAGAGGCGCTCATTTCATGTATTTAAACAAAGTGCATATCAGGGTTCTTTGCTTGTTGTCTAAGCATTCAATCCCTTTGCAATTGCTTGGATGTTCATAACAACTTTGCTTTGCCTTTATTTCCTTGCCTTTTTCCATATTGTTACCTCATTCAGAACTTACAGGCTCTCAGCATTTCTTCTGTTGCTATGTCTTTTAGTGCAGACACAAAGCCAGCCAGCTTGTCATGGTTATAGCAAGAACTGCAGATGCTGGAGTCAGAGTCAATACTGTGTAGGGCTGGAGGAGCAGAGCAGGTCAGGCATCATCAAAGGAGCAGGAGAGTCGATGTTTCAGGCCTGGACCCTTCATCAGGACCTGATGAAAGGTCCAGGCCCGAACCATTGACTCTCCCGCTCCTCTGGTGCTGCCTGATCCACTGTGTTCCTCCAGCCCCACATTGTATTGACAGCTTGTCATGATTGTCAGCAGGGATAGTCAAGGGGGTAAATATTTTGCTGTGTGGCACCATTCTGTGTCAATATCACCTACAGCATTTGCCAGCAGCTTAAACAGCAATCATACTGAATATGCTTCAATCAAATGGCCACGTTTCAAAGTCTAAGTGGATCAGTCCTCAGTTATGTCAAGGGGAATTGTTGTCAGTTAGGGGTTTCCACCACAGTCAGCCAAGGACAATGTCCAATCTCAGTCCAGGGGCTTCAACAAGGGCAGTCAGGGTAAGGGATTCTGCATCATGACAGTTTTTGTTTTATTTCTTTATTCATTTATGGGATGAGGGCGTCGCTGGCTAGGCACCATTTATTGCCTAGAGGGCAGTTAAGAGTCAGCCACATTGCTGTGGATCTGGAGTACACCAGACCAGGTAAGGATGGCAGTTTTCTTCCCTAAAGGACACTAGTGAACCAGATGGGTTTTTTCTGACAATCGACAATGGATTCATGGTCATCATTAGATTGTTAATTCCAGATATTTATTGAATTCAAATTCCACCATCTGCCATGGCAGGATTCTAACCTGGGTCCCTGGATTAACAGTTCAGCAATAATACCACTAGGCCATCGCCTCCCCTGAGATTTGACCATGGGTCAGTTCTGTAGGTGCACTGCAATCAGTCAGGGATTAGCAGTAAATGAATCGAAGAGCTGCACACACATCTCACAAGGATCATTAACTGGTGCTGTCCCTCCAAGTTGGTAAGGGTATGGGACGTGGTCAGTCCTGGGGGTCAGCTCACTGAAAGCCAAGATGGGTTAACAAAAGCCACAGCTATAGTAGGAAAGATGGGGAGTTCAGTTATGGGGTTTGGAGGCTGTATCCTAGGATGCAAAGATGACAATAATTGCTACGCAAAATCTTAAAATTTAAGGGTGAGAGATGACAATCCATTGAAGGATATGGGTTATTCTGGGAGGTGGGTATCATCGATGTTGATGTGTAAAATAGCAAAATACTGATGAACGTGAACTTCTATTTGCAATGAAGTGTCACCTGTATTACATAGATGCTCTCAGAAGCTGTTTTCTTTTCATTTTTACAATGTTTTATTCCAGAAGTTGTCAGCAACGAGTCCTTCCTCTGCTTGTAAGTGCAAAACGTCATGAGCATGGTGCTGTTAAAGACGTGCATACATATGAAATGAGCAGTGGAGACCTGCATGAGATAACTCATAAGAGCTCATGGAGAAAAGCTCTTCTAGATTCCCTGAAATTGACACTTTGTCGATTTTTGGTAAAATTCAGCCCTGTGTCTCTTCTGGTAGTTGGCACAGACGTAAATGTCTTCTGTCCCTTAAAAGGTTGTAACTGTATCATTAATGTATTTGTTCTCTGAATAGATGCTAATTAGTGAGCTAAGTATTTTCAGCATTTTTTGGTTTCATCAGGATGGATAGAGGAAGAACTAACTACAAGAAGACAGTGTTCTGATGAAGGGTCACTGGACCTGAAATGTTAAGTCTGATTTCTCTCCACAGATGCTGCCAGAACTGCTGAGGTTTACCAGCAATTTCTGTTAATTGCTTCATTCATTCCATTTGACAGCAAATTTTATGTTGTTACTGCTCTCTGCGGATAGACATTTCTCTTGAATTCTCTATTGTATTTATTGCTGACTGTCTTATTTTTATGGCTGCTAATTTTGAACTCCTTCCCAAATAAAAATCATAACTTTTGTGAATGCAGTGTACATGTGTTTACTGATGGACAACAATGGGCTTTTGTTCCATACCCTGGCATTTTCTATTGTCATTTTGATTTATTCAACTGAAACATCAAATTTCATGCAGCAAGGCTGGATGTAATACAGATCCACTGTGTGCCTTGACCTATGTTATTCTTAAGAAATAAATAAATATATGAAACTAATAAGATATGAAAGTGATCATGAAATATTTTAAAATCTATACTTTCTTCAATTTTTAAAATTGACTTTGCTGGATTAAAACATGGCTGCTACAATCACAGGATGCAAGTTGTATGGATGTTGTGGGGAATAGAGGGTTTAAGTTGTATAAGTAGGTTGGGACATTTTTCACTGGAGCGGTGACCTTATAAAGGTGTATAAAATCATGAGGCGCATTGATAAGGTGAATAGCAAAGGTCTTTTCCCTAAGGTGGGTGAGTTCAAAACTAGGGGGCATATTTTTAAGGTGAGGACATCAGGGGCAAATTTTTTATGCAGAGAGTAGTTAGTGTAGCAATGAACTGCCAGAGAAAGTGGTGGATGCAGGTACAGTTACAAAGTTTAAAAGACATTTGGACAGATACATGAATAGGAAAAGTTTGGAGGGACATGGGCCAAGCGCAGGTAAGTGGAACAAGTTTAGTTTGGGAATGTGGTCAGCATGGTCTCATTGGACCAAAGGGTCTGTTTCCATGCTGTATGATTCTATGACTACAATTCTGTACAGTTTCAATCAGCATATACCTAGACAAAGCTTAGACACCATCCTCCTGGAATCCCACAGCATTGCATTGCATGGATTTTGCAATCAACAAATACAACGGAGCAAGACTGCTAACGTGGGTCTTCAAAACCCATTATAGCTGCAAAGGTGCTTGTGGCCCACCATCTGTTTTATACAATGAGCAATGGTTTTTGACCAAGGGCACAGAAAACCTATCTTATTATACTTGTGGAGGTGCTAATAGCCCTGTCTATTTCCAAGGTGAACAACAAGTCTTTGTCTAGAGGGAGATACAAACAAAATGGAATGTTGAAACCGACTCATCAATGAGCCATATTACATGACCAGAATTCTTGTGAGCTCTGAAGAATTTAATTGCAATTTTTGGACTCCCTTGTTCGTCTGCTAAGAATCTGGCAGGTAGCATCAAGTCTCCATTTTATCATCCAAATGAGTTGTGTCTAAAGACCATCAATAGAAAGCAAGACTTCAGGCGAATAGCTAAACCAGTTCTAGTCCAGGTAAACTTC